AGGCGGCCACGCTGTGTCCCCTTGCTTTTCAAAGGCTAGTCCTTGGCTATTGTACTCACGTCCTGAGCTTATTTGTACACTTGTTGGAGGCCCCCAGCCCCCCTGCTGCAGCCACAGCCGCCCTGACCACCAGATAAAAGCAGCCAGGCTCACCGGGCAGAGTTTGCTATCGGAGCAGGGACAAACAGCACAGTCCCGCGGTGCAGACAAGATAGCAGAAGCTCTGCCGGGCTGACCCTGCGCTGTTAAAGGCTCCAGGTCAACAACAGCCCCTGCTGGATCTCCACTGGCCACAGCTGCCCACTGCAGGGCTGCTGGGACACTTTGTCTGTTGTCAGGACTGGTATCAATCCCATGCACACCAAGGAACGTCCTCGTGGTTCTGCTCTCCCCCTCAGCTGCGCCTGGGGAGGGTCAGCATCTTGCCAAAAGATGTAACTGCCAAGCGGGAAGCAATGCTAAAGCCTTGCTCATTGCCTCATCTCCCTGTGTCCTCTGGGCAGGTCTAAAGCCAGGTAACAGTCCACCCTCCTCCCTGTAAGCAGGGTGGGGTCATGCAAGAAGTACAGAGGGGTCCCCAGGACTTTGGGGGTTAGAATCCCAGTGAAACCCAGTCTTTACAAGCAAGGAAGCCCTGTTAAAAGAGCAGCAAAATGAGCATCACCACATTCACGTCCCTTGCTGTGTGATGGGAGAGATGGCGAGATGAGCCTCCTCGCTGCAAGGAGGCAAAAAAAATTGTCTTTGGTCTTTGAAGGGGAGGTCCAGCTCTTGCTGCAGGTGTGTGCAAGTCTGCACCTTCATAGGAACAAGAGCCTGCATTACCCTTGGCCTCCCCCCCATTTCTCCTCCAGGTGCTCAGCGCTTTCTGTTTCCTCTCCAGCTAACAGGAGGGAGCACCAGGCCAGCTGTGGACAATGAGGACAGCCAGGCCAGACCCAGGTGCTTCCCCAGGAAGGACGCAAAGACGGATGTTTGAAGGGATGACAGCACTGCCTCAGCTCTCAGCATTACCGGCTGTGTTTCCACACTCTCAAGTGCCTTTTTCCTTGCCTCCTCCACAGCCTCTTTGTTACAGAAGAAGAAGCAGCATATCCTCTTCCACATGCCAGTGACTGCCACAATTGAGAAATACATCAGCAAAGGCCAAAAACACATGGTCTTCTGGAGGATGGGGATATTCATGGCATTGTGAAATTCTTGGATGTCGAGCTGTTAGCTTGGGGAGACAGAGGCAGAGAGGGCGGCTATCCTGGGAGCCAGGCTTGCCAGCCTTAATCTGGAGGAGAGGGGTTGCAGCATGACTGACACTGCAAAAACCTAGATTTCACATATCCCTTCTGGGACACATTATAGCTCATTGCACCCTGGTGCAACCCACAAATTGAATAGAGAGCACAGACAGTGTATCCCTCAAATCTGCTCACAGCAAGGCAGGAGCTGGCACTTTTCTGAGTGGCTGTGGTCCAGAGGAAGTAATCGACAAGATCACTTTCTTTTGTCCCCAGATGCCTGTTGCCTGTCTGGTCCTGCACCCTGGGGTGGCTGGAATGCCCCATAGACCCTGTTGGGTAGAGCGCACAGCCTTGGGAGCCCTATAAATACCTCCCAGCCCGTGGGCCACTGTATCTCCCCCAACCCTTGGCCTCAGCCCAACAGCACATCCAACTTAACACCACACTCCAGCACTTGGTTCTTAGCTTTTCCACCCTTTCTAGACTGAAGAGCTGTGTTACTCAAAGGATTTCTTGCCATAAAAATATATAAGTATCCTCCCAACACCATTTTTGACAAGCTGCTCACAAAGCAGCTATTAACTGCTTTTTAACTGCCTTAACGTGGGTGGGACAACTGGTCACACGAGGGTCAGCCATGCTGTAAAACTGAAGTGAAACTGCATGTTCCTTCCCATATTTTGATCTCATGTTTCAGCACTAATCCCATAGGAAGGACACTGTCACATCATGGGGTAGTGCATAAAAGAATGCAGAGTCATTTGAGTCGAGTCAGGGGACTCACAAGACTCCCAGGAGTTCAGAGGAAACAGACAAACTTCTCCTAAAATAACTGAGCCAAGACACAATGAGGAGGAACAGCCTGATGCTGAGATGACAGATCAGAAGTCAGCAGTCACTGATCCTACATCCTCTTTCCTCCTCAACCATTTCCCAACTCTGGCTACCTCTGCTCCTTGCAAAGATGTTTGGCCGAGCTGGGCAGCCTGAGCACCTGGGCTCAGCATCACAGCAGAACAGGCACCACTGTGTGAACTACACAGGTGCCAGGCCTGAGGGAGGTGGCATCAGCCACCAAGTGTCAGTAGCCAGCTGACTCCCACTCCTGCAAGGTGAAGGGTGCTCCACTGCTCACGGGTACCGTGTTGCCTTTGAAGAACCCTCATTTTAATGTATTTCACTGCCAACACCGGCTGGGGTGCAAAAATATCTGAGATTCTAAAATGTCGGCTTTCTTATCTTTTTCCTGGCAGGTGTAGAAATGGGGAACTGACTACTGAGCACAAGTGCATTGTGAGAGGGAACAGAAAACACCTGCAGCAAGCATTTGCCAGGGCAGGTCAGAGCTGGTATAGTGTGCAACACAGCATCTCCACTGCTACCTGGAAGGACAGCCCAACAGACAGATGCCACAGAAAGGAATAAATCAAACTGCTGTTGCTTTCCTTATGTGCATTGCAGCATTGCTCCAGGGAATGTTCCTCCTCCAGCAGGACCTCGGTGTGGAATCGCTGCTCTGCTCAGAAGTGCTGGTGGGTGGTGATTGCAGCCTTGGCACAGTGTGCCCAGCCAGCCTGCACCAGTAAAGGTGCTACCAGAAGGTGAGGGCTTGGAGGGGGAAGCCCAGGAAGAACATAAAAAACTGAGCAGAGTTTTCCACAGGTTACACTTTCCTGAGCAGCAGGCCACATTAGACCATTGCACTGAGAAACTATCAGAGGACCCATGTTATAGGACTGATCTAAACTTCTTCTGAACCCTCTTACTCCTTGGGCTTCCACTGAGGCACCCACCAGCAGCATGTCCCACAGGGCAGTCACACACCGAGTGACAACAGTTTTCCCCTCTATGACTGGCATCATCACACTGGTGAGGGATGGAGCTGGAGAAGAGAAAGCCTGGGCACTGGAGCCTGGCTCAAACCTCCTCTGGTAAGCAGAGCTGACAGGTCCACCGGCATGTCTTGCCTGAGAGATGCTTTAGAGGCTTGTCTCCAGACAGCCGCATAGAATTTCAGGTCTAGTTAATCCCCCCTTTATCAGCGCAGGAATGTATTGCTTTTCACAAAACATAATCCTCTTTGCAATCATGTGTTCTGCAAAACTACAAACTTTCTGCTCCCGTCCTTCTTTCCCGGGAGAGGATTTGAGGCAACAATCCAGGCCTACTGATTTATTTTTTTAATGAGCAAGGGACAAATGAGCACAGCACTGCTGAACATGCGCACACGCAAACCTTGAAGCACTCCCTGTTCCTAGCATGTTTTTGAGGGATGCCCTGAGCTGAAGGACAGAGGCTGGGAGCAGTGACCTCTCATGATGGGCCACAGGCAGCCCAGGGCCTGACATGGGCTGTCCATGCTTCTTGTGTTTGTGCACTACAGGGGCTAGAACGCATAACTCCTGTCACGCTTCCCATAGTGCAAATAAAATAGCAATCTGCCTAGCCCAGTACAAAGGAAAGGCACCCTGGGTGACTCTGCTCATTCAGACCTAAAAAGGCAGCCCTGAGCGTGCATGACTTGCTGGGACCTGAAGATGCTCAGAGCTTCCCATGCCAGAGCAAGTCCTGTGTCTGGTTCGCACCACCCAGGGGAAGAAAATATTTTTCCTGCCCTCATCCCTCAAAATGCTGAGAGGGTGGGAATGCTGAATCGTGACCTGCTCCTTCTTTTGGCCGCGGTACAAGCATCCCTTCCCACGAAGAGTTGTTAACCTCACCTCCCGCCCCGCGCGGCGGGTGGTCGCTTCGCTTCCAGCCCTTCCCGTGGGGAAGACGGGACTCAGTGGTGTGAACCCAGTGAAATACATCCACTGGGCAAGCAGCTCCTCCGCTGCACCGAGGGCATCTGAAGGTCATTTATAAAGAGCACGGCTTCAATCTTTATAAAGCAAGCAGGTTGTAAAGAGGTGGGGGTCGGTCTCTTCTACCTTGCCTACAGGGAGGGAATAAGAAGAAATTGCCTTAAGCTGAGAAAGCTGACACAAGTGAAATTCAGAGTAGATATTAGTAAATTTTTTTCCCTGTTCAGGTTGTCAGGCATTGGAACGGGCTGCCCACGCAGGTGTGGAAGTCACCTTCCCCGCAGCTGTTTTATCGCACCACTACAACCTGGCCTGGCGTACGTGCGCGGGCAGGGGCGGGCCGAGAGCGGCGGGCGCTGCCGGGATATCAGGGAGGGCTGGTGATTACTGCCAGGATTGGCTGATCGGCGGAGCCGCGCAGGCGGGACCTTCTGTCCCCGCGGTGCCGCAATTCAGCCCCGGCGGGGCGCGGAGCGGCGGTGGGTGAGCGCGGGCGCGGGATGGGAGCGGGACGGGGCCGCGGGGACGGGACGGCGGGAGCGGGCGGGTGGAAGGCGAGGAGGGCGGGAGGGAGGCGGCTCGCAGGGGGGCCCCGGCGGCGCTGCCGCAGCGGCAGGGGCCGCATCTCCCGGAGGGCACGTGGTGGCGGCGGCGCATGCGGCAGCGCCCGCTGACCTTGATGGGCAGCGCGGCCCCGCACGGCTCCCGCGGCCCCGCACGGCTCCCCCGCCGGGCACGGGGAGAGCAGACGTGCCCTCGGCCCGTGTCCTATCGCCCGCGCCCCTTATCTGGGGTCCGCAGCCGGGCCCTGCCCGCTATGCCGGGGACGCCCGGCCCCGCGGGGCGGCTGCTCCTGTGCGCCGTTTTTTTCTCTTATTTTTTTTTTTTTCCTTTCCTCTTTACCGTATTTCTGAGGGAATCGGGGGGCTCGCCAGAGGGGTTCGGGGTGATGTGCTGGGGGAGCCGCGAGCATCCCTGCCAGTTGCGGTTCCTGGCAGGCCCTTTGAACTTCACTACCTCCCTGGGTTAGCTTTTAGGAGACCCTCCGAATGCTCAGCCGGGTTGTGTCCTGCCTGCCAGGTGGGAGCCTGCGGCCTCAGGTTGTCGCTGGGAAAAGGCTTCTCGAAACTGGCGGGGTTTCATCCTCGTGTGTTTTTGCAGAGGGTGAAATGAGCAACGGCCATTATTAACCTTTGATCCCCAAATAAAACCTTTCAGAGCTCCCAGGTGTAATGCTGATCCACGTGCACCTGAAGACCAGTTCAAAGCCACTTCTTAGCCACGCTGCTTGAGGGCATACTCAGGTTGCACGCTTCCAGCCTAAACACCTGTCTAGGCACTCGCTAACTTACAAAGCTTTTCCAAGCATCTTTTCAGGAATAAATGCTTAAGTAAATCAGTTACAATTTACTTGTCAACTATGTTTGCTGTGTGTAGAGAAACCAGAATTTTAAAAGTTATTGAAATTATTTTGGAGAGTTGTTCTCAGCGACTCATGGAGACTGTTCAAGACAGAAATTGCCTTCATAAAATGGTAGAGAACGTAGCCATCTAGAAGGGGTGTTGCTATTGGAAGTGTTCTGGCGGGGTTGGAGCTTATGCTTGCTTTGCTTTATGCTTTGCACCACTTCTGTCTGCCAGTCGGACTCTTTCTGTCATTGAGACAGACCCCAGGAACCTTAGATATCTGGGAGTCCATTGTCAGAGTTGAGCAAATACCTCTTTCCAGTACTCCCTGAGTGGAGGTGTCTCTACCATTAATAAGACCCTTGGCTGTTGAGACTCCCCCACTATGCCTGGAGTTCAGTAGAAGGAGCTGATTTGTTCATTGGAACTTATATTTGCAATGGGAACTTCTAGGTTGCATTCAGGGTTGGTGTAGGTTTGCTAATATTGTGACTTACATAGAAGTATATGCAGAAAATCCATGGGCAGGCAGTACACTGTGTCAGTGACTGACCTTGGATGTGTTACGTAGCGGCAGGGGAACAGCCTGACTTGACGACTTGTGTTCTGAACTTCCAGGGCTTTGGTCAAGTTGGTGTGCACTTCTCCAGAGGGCAATGGACCATGCCAGAGCAGCAATCTCTAACTTGGTAAGACACAGCCCTCCAGTGCCATTTCATCTCTTGGTGGGCTGACAGTACTGCAGAAAAAGGTTTGACAACATCCATGTCAGTATCAGAGAAGATGATGAATCCAAAGCAGTTTGGATGCTGCCGTGTGGGTTGTGAGCCAAATGTCGTTGTAGCTAGCTGGCCATGATAAGGAAGTGGCTCGAGTGGTTCAGTGTTGGTGGGGTTATCATTAACTGCTATCATATTTTGGGTCTCTCAAGAAGCTGGTAAGAAAGGGGGGAGGGGCAAGCCTTGAACAGTGTTCCAGGAGGAAGTCTGTTCTTCCTTGAGGGTTGGGAATTCAACCACAAGTCCAGCTTTTGAAAGCAACCCGTGCTTTGAAAGAAATGTGCAGGAGGAGGTATTTCTGAATTTTGCCCATCCAAACCTGCTGGTCCTAGAGAGTTTGGATTGTGAAATGACCCTAGGCTAGGACTGGGAATGTGGTGGTTTTGTCTGTGAACAAGTAGGGAGGATATGTAGGGTTGGGGCATGTCCTCTGTGTGAGGACATGCCTCAAGTGTGAGGAAAGCCAAGCTGTTGAGCAGCTGAGCAGGGAGACTGCTAGGGCAGACTGCAGCATTACCTTTTCCAAAATGTGAACTGCCAGCCACTTCACTGTGGGTACTGTGAGCCAGAGTGGAACTGCAGGTCTGAAACAACACCGGTTTCTTTTGACCAGCTGAGCAGATGTCTGGTCTCTTCACTTCCAGCTGCTGATGTGTAGTTTGAGAGTGAACCGCGAGCTGTGGATGAGCTGCTGAGGTTGTAACAGGGCGTGGGTGCTTGTCACCAGCTGCTTCTCCAGTACAGTGGAGAGGAACTGCAGGACTGTTGCTCCTGAAGCAATTCTTCTGGCCTTTTAGCCAGTCTCCTGCCACTTCCCAGCACAACTGTGGCTGCAGGCAATTTCAGCATCTCTAATAGAAGCTGAGTGGTTCTGCTATGCCTGGAATTGAGTTAATCTGAGCGTCTGCCTTGTGCACAGGCGGCTGTTCTGTGGGGGGTTGGGCTCTGTGTTGCACCTGTTGGGAAATGTGGGCTCCAGTCTGGAAGTTCTGCTTGGGCACTGGTAAACACCTGTCAAATGGTGGGTGCAGGAGGTGTAGCCTCAGCTTTCATGTTAGCTGAGGTAGCGTGATTCCCAAGGGTAATCTCTTTTCAGCCTAGCTGCTTTGTAATACTACCAATAGTGTAATTTAAGAGTAGCCTTAGGCAGCGTAATACAAAATTAGCTAGATGCTGGATGAGAGTATTTACGTCAAAGTGGATGCAGCTCGAAGGCACAATCATGGAGGGGTTGCCTTCCCTTTCCTCTGTCCTCATCAAAGTGCAAGTTGTACACACTCAAGGCAGATCTGTGCTCTTCTGATTCAGACTGAGAGTTTCTACTTGAATCAGCCTTTGCCGTGGGGTCACATGGGAAATGCTGGTGCTGTTGGCTGTGTCATATCTGTAACACACTCCAAGCTAAACTCTGATCAGTGTGGATCTGAACAGGGTAAAGAGATGCTAAATAGACTCTGGAGACCCTAAGTGGATCTGAGTCTTAACTGTGTTTAAAACAGCCAGGTTGACTTATTCACAAAATGCTCGCTTGAACTGGAGCATCTGCAGGTGAACAACCTGCGTTTGGGTTGGAGCTGATGACTGGAAGGACTGTGGGCTGGTGGAGCAAACTCTTCTGTAACACGACTGTCTTTCAACACAGTTTGGTGGCGAGCCGATGTCGTACACGCGCTTCAGCATTGCCCGGCAAACAGATGGAGACAACAGCCATGTGGAGATGAAGCTCTCTGCTGATGATGAGGAAGGAGGGGAAATCGGGAGACCAGAGCACCTGCATGCCACCATGCCTCCTCCACGGAGGAATGGCAAAAACCTTTGTTTCCTAATCATGGCAGCAGTCCTCCTCCTTTTGATTGGTAAGGAAGAGTGGGAGGCAACTGCATGGAGTGGACACTGGTATTGAAAGTATCTGAGGCCATTAACATTTGAGTTGGTATTGTTTTGGGAGATAATTAAAGAACCGGGATCCAGGCTGCAGCCTCTTGTCACTAAGTATGTCTAGCTCAGCCTTATGGTACAGAAGTGTGAAGTTGGCACAGAGTTGGCACAAGGAAGTGTGAAGTTTGGCAGTGGAACTTAGCTGAAGGGCAAACTGGTCCTTGTGGAAGTCTTACTGCTTTTCCCTCCATTAACTCTTTAACAGTTCTGTAGAGATGTGGATCAGCAGATCAGTAAAGCCTTTGATGCTCGTCTCTTAAGGTTTTAACACTGCCACTGACCTAAAGTAAGCATTCTCCTTCCCAAGTGGTGCTGGAGGGACTGCCAAGCGCAAGATCGAATTTACAGTGCCCCTTAAAACATGCCAGCTCAGGCAAAATGTCAGGCTGCATATTTCTGTCTGTCCTTGGATAGGCCAGCTTGTCAAATGGTGTGAGAGCAGAGATGCATCTTAACCCTGAAGCTGTGTGGTGTAGGGCTGGTTCAGTCATCTTTCTGCAGCACAAATTAAAACCCGTTCTGTCCATAGGGTTTCTGATTGGCTACTTGAGTTACCGTGGACGAATGCAGAACGTTAGCAGGTGTCTGGATGGAAGTGGCAAGTGTGAGATGACTCCTACTGCATCTTACTTATCGGATGATGATGAAACTGAGGAAGAAGAGGTTTCTGGACCACGTGTCTTATACTGGCCTGACCTGAGAGCCATGTTGTCAGATAAACTGTCAGCTGCACAACTTGAGGCGAACCTGAGGTAACAGTTGCAGAAAGCTTAGCTAGAGCTTTGTGAGAGCTACAGCCTGTGAGCAGAACTCGAGCTCCTTTGGAGAACAAGGGCCTTACAGGTGATGTAGGGTGGCATGTGTTAAACACGGGCTTAAATGGCTTTGCAGGCTGCAGTTCGACCTGGTGCTGTAGCTTAAGCTGTGTGTATATCTGCTACTTACAGGCAAAGAGAAAGTAAGACATCTTTTGAAGCTGGCAAGGTTGAAGATGAGACCACTGCCAGCTACATTCATGACCAGTTCACCAGCTTTCGCTTGGATGAGGTGTGGAATGACGAGCACTACATTAAGCTGCAGGATAAAGGCAGGTATGTAATGAAGAGATGGCATCTCTTCCTAACAGCATGGATGTCTGTAGTCTTGAGAAAACACGTGATTTCTGCTTAAAATGGTGCGAAAATTGTGAGCCAGTTACCACTCTCCAAAGAAGGCCTCAATCTAGGCAAACAACAATAGATGCTCTTCCCTCTTTTCAGGCTGTCTAAATCCAGAGGGTCCGGTAGCAGCAGATTTTTCCTGGGACAGCTGTTTCCTCAAACTATGCTTAGGAAGTGGAGAGAAAACAAACTTGAGTGAAAACTCAGCTGAAGGGCAGATTCCCTGTGTCTGAAACGGCTAGCACAGGCGACTCCATCTTGTCATCCAGACAGGTGTCGGACACCTGGCAGTGGCTCCTCTAGTAGCTCAGGAGGGTATCAGCAGGCACTGTGTTGTCTGACAGCTCGTACCCTCATGTTTTAGTTGCCCCTCTGTGTCGGGGCAAAATGAATCTGCTTAGAAATCAGCCTTCATTAATGTCTCTGAACAACCCCAGAGATTCTTGCATGGAAGTACTGGGATGAGTCTGCCTGTTTCAGGCTCTGTTGACTTGCTCAGAATGGCTAGAGCACTGAATATGGGAGTTAGTTAAATTCTTATATGAAAGATTAAAGTGCTGTCTCTTTATGTTTAACAGTAGCAATAACCAAGTGTCTACTGAGGCAAATGGTGTTGAAGAGGTACTGGAGAGTCCCAACGCATATGTGGCATACAGCAAGAGCGGCACAGTTTCTGTAAGTGACTCCAGGAGGATCCTGGAAATGTTTTTGCACACTTACCAGGTGGCAACGTCCAAAATATGTCCATTTATGATACGGAGTGTATAAATCCCTCCCCAGTTAGAGAGCTGGAGGTGGTGAGAGTGGGGTGAGGAGTGGGCCCACGTGGTGGTATGACTTGAGCAAGATGCAGAAGTAACTTTAAACTTCCCTGCTGGGATCCAAACAGGAACCTTGGCAGAAGTGCTGCTCCAAGAGGCATGTTGCATGGGATCAGTTGACATGGCTGAGCTTCAGCTCCCTGCTGTTAACTGAAGTCACTGTTACAGTGACTCTGTAGGCTGTTTCAAGCATCTTGCTGCTGCATTTTTAACCTGTATTTCTGTTCCAGGGCAAACCAGTCCATGTGAACTATGGACTGAAAGATGATTTTGAGAAGATACGAAATCTGGGTATTTCAATGAATGGAACTATAGTCATCTTCAGAGCTGGAAAAATAACCCTTGCTGAAAAGGTAAGCAGTCTGTGTCCCAGAGCCTGGCCAAACTTGGCAGCAGGAAGCTATGCTTCCTCCTCTTTGAGGCATAAAGGTGTGTCTTTATTATGTTTGTAGAATTCATGTACGTAGGCTTGTCCCTACAGGTCTGGTCTTGCTTGTTTGCTCTAAGCCTCCATGTGCAGGTCTGGATGCCAAGGCTGAGCAGAGCTTGTTACCGTTCGTGGTGCCATTCTTCTTGGCCTCTGGCAGTCCTGCTGGAACAGCCAGGCATCTGGAGTGGTGGAGCTGGGAGGCAGAGAGAAGCAGCCTGGGAGCTACAGGGTGCAGAGCTGCATCACTAGGTGCAGCCATAGGGCTGCTAGAAGCAGGGTGGCCTTGCCTCCAGAGCACCTCTGGCTCCTGCAGTCAGATACTTTCAAAGCTTAGCTGCAGTGTCTTGCTGACTGCTCACTTGGACCAAGTGATGGTGCTGGCACTGCATGCCCAGCCAGTGGCCTTCCATGTTGTTGTAGTGTTTCCTCTGTAGGGAGCAGAACCAAATATCCAAGCAGCCTAGAGGACCCAAGTGATTCTGTATGTAAACCTGTTTGAGGCCTGACCCAGATCTGCCCCTCAGACAGGTGCTCCTGGGGAGGCTGGGGTACAGGACTCTGCCTGTCTGCATGCATCAGATACAGGCAGAGCTGAAAAGTGTTTCCACAGAGGGTGGTTACTGGTTCTCCAATCCCCCATTTTTCAAACTTGTCTAGCCTCGCAAGAGTGTTTGTACCAGTGACATATCAGAGGCAGCTGGGTTGTAGGTATATTGAACAGGGACCTGGCTAGGCCACTCTGCCTCCACTTTCCATGTGAAGATGAGCCTTCAGTGGCTGCTTCTTTTGAGCCTAACCTCATCTTGGGAAAACAGGTGGAATATAATCAAAATTAAATAACATCTGTCTTTTAAGCGGCTCTGAGGAGCAAGCATGAGCTGAAGGAGTTGTAGGGTGAGACACTAACTGTGGTGTGTCCTAACTGTTCAAGAGGGTGCTAGACACACACTGCCTGGAGTAGGACTGAGCTGCTGGCATTCAGCTGCCTTGCATATCTGTCAGTGTCAGGTAGCTGCTAAAATCTGTTATGAAGTCGGGGATCAAGGAGCACAACCCTTCCCACCATTATTCCATGGACTTGCCTTAACTTCCCTTGGCTTGCAGTGCAGATATTGAGTAAATGTTTCTCTTTGCTTCAGGTTGCAAATGCCAGAGAGGAGGGAGCAGTTGGTGCCCTGATGTACCTGGACCCCTCTGAATACAAGTACACCGAGAAACTTGTCCCCTTTGCACATGTGAGTATGCAGCTGACTCCCGTTTGTTCTGGTGGACCTCTCTTGCTGAGGGCTGCAGCCTGCAGCAATCCTGCCGGCCTCTGGCTCAGCAGTGCTTCGTGCACTTGTGTAGATAAAAACTGTTGGGCTCCTCTGAGACTCGAGGACTCTTCTTGCTTTTCACAGGCTCACCTTGGAACTGGAGACCCTTTCACCCCAGGCTTCCCTTCTTTCAACCACACCCAGTTCCCACCAGTGGAATCTTCTGGACTACCTCGCATCCCTGTTCAGACCATCTCTAGCGAAGCTGCAGGCAAGCTGTTCAGGTAACTGGCTTACAGGCTGAGTTGCTGGGGCTCTCTTGGAGGTTGAGGTGCTGTGAGCTCTCTGCTGCTCTCTGCTGTGTGTGGCAGGGAGCGCGTTCTGGAACTGGCTGGAGAAATGTCACTTGTGTCTGGTGTCTTAGACTGAACTTAATCTAGTGTTGGATTCTGTTGACCTCTGCATCCTACCCCTCCCTGCATAATTATTGGTGCAGGACTTCAAACCATTTCCTAGGCAGGCCTTGAAACAGGTTGCACCTGCAGTTGCAGGTGTGCTTTTTTCACACAATAACTAAATGAGGTTGGAGCTGGATCATGAGTTCAAAGGATCTCTCTTTTTGCCTCAGCAAAATGGATGGGCACACATGCCTTCTGGAGTGGAAATCTGGGATCATGGGATGTAAGGTGACGGTGAGCCCCACAAGCAAGATGACAGTGAAACTGACCGTGAACAACGTTATGGTGGACAGGAAGATTCTGAACATCTTTGGTGCTATCAAGGGATTTGAAGAACCAGGTAACAACAGCTGCCTTGTGGCTGAATCTTGAGGGGAACCCTTTCTCTTCTGTGGTTGTCAGAACATGACAGCTGCTCCCAGTCAGACAACCACTTCCTCAGCAGAACCTTCCTCAGACCTTTCCCTGAGGATCAAAGAGAAAGCTGAACCGTGCTGCCAGGGAAAGGCTAAATGAAAGCGTGCCAGACTCAGGGGTCAGGCTGCAGACTCCCTTCCCGGTACAGAAGCTGAAAGCTGCTCTTCTGATAAATGGTGTTTGCAACCTGAAGCTTGGAGCTCAGATCTTGGTGTCTCCTTTACAGATCGGTATGTTGTGATCGGAGCCCAGAGAGATTCCTGGGGACCAGGAGCGGCCAAGGCCGGCGTTGGCACTGCCATCTTGTTGGAACTTGCCCGTGTGATCTCGGACATAGTGAAAAAGGGTAAGTAGTTTTGAACAAAAGCATGAGGGTGGGAGGTGATGCAGGTCTAGCTCTGCATGTATTAACACTGGAAAGCCCAGTTGCAAACCAACGCTTTGGAAGGCATAGGGAATCTGACAAAGCTTCCCAAGAAACTGTTACTTGTGCAGTACAGACAACTTGTCTGCAGTGAGCACTTGCTTCCAAGGGACTGCCTGCCTGTACCTGGTATGGTCAAATGAAAGAATGTCCTTGGATAACACACAGCATAAACCTGAAACTTGAGCCGTCTGTTGGACAGCTGGGCCTGAAGGTGGGAAAATCCTGGAGTGGCTGACCAGCTGGAGCAGTGGGGACTGCATGGTGGCACTTAGTGTGACCACACTTGTCTCTAGGGTTAATTTGGGGCTCAGGCAGCTAAATATCAGGGGAGAAATGCAGACAGCATTGTTTTCCTCTGCAGTTCTGCAGCGTGGGGGGGCAGGGTACAGTGTCCACACAGCCACTAGTGTGCACATTTGTCTGCAGCAGCCAGAATGCTTCAGTGCTGTCTCAGGACCAGGCAATTCATCATCCCAGGCCTGCAGTGCTAATCTGCATTTCCATGGGGGAAGGGCAGACATCTCAGTCTCTCTCTCTTTGCAGATGGCTACAAACCAAGACGCAGCATTATCTTTGCTAGCTGGAGTGCGGGAGAGTTTGGAGCTGTGGGTGCAACCGAGTGGCTGGAGGTACTGTGTGTTTAATAGAATTCTGTGTGATGACTGCAGTTGTTCCTGTGGATTAAACATCCTGGTGTTGTACTGCTACTGCTGATCTTATTAAAATACTTGATTTGTTCTAGGGATACTCCACCTCGCTGCATGCCAAAGCCTTCACTTACGTTAACTTGGATGCTGCAGTCTTAGGTAACCTGCTACTCCTTAAGTTTCTTGAAAATGAGTGGAACTAGAATAGCTTGAACAGACATCCCTTAACCCCTAGGAATGGGGGCTGTGCCAAAAGGCTGATGGTGGGTGGTTGGCTGAAGGCTGGCGTGACTCCATTTATTCTGCTGTCATTAAAGCCAGGAGGCTGCTGCAGCCTAAGCCAGAGGAGTCAGCTTTGCTAGGTCCCAGTAGACTGTCCTGTGTCTGTTGAAGTTCCTCTGGTAACAAGCTGTAGATCAGGACTGAATAGCTCTAGCAGGAGTGGTTGATTATACCAGCATGTGAAACATACTTTCATTTCTTGCAGGCTCCAACCACATGAAGATTTCTGCTAGCCCATTGCTGTACTCGTTGCTGGATAGAACTATGAAGGGGGTGAGTTGAAGGGCTTTAGGCTGATCAAGGTGACTGGTTTTAGGAGGAACTGAAAGCAGAGATGTGCTGGGTCACTTTCCCCAGCTACACCTTCTGTGGAGAAAGCCCCATTTAGGAGAAAAAGCTGAGATATTCTGGAGGGCCCTGTCTGAAATCAGCTGGGCTCTGGAAACTGCAGTTCAGATATGCAGAATCTAAAATCTGCAAGTGCCACAGTTCAGTGGGAGGTGAACCCCTGTCCTGCATCAACTGTGCCTGTGTGGAGAAAGGTCAGGGGAGCACACCTGACTCTGGCATCTGCACAGCAATGCAAGCTCCAGGATGGAACCTGGAGGCCCAAGCAGAGGTCAGAACAAGTGCAGTGACTGTTGTCTCTGTGCAGGTGAAGGACCCAACAAAGGATTCAGGAACCCTGTATAACAGAGTGGGCTCTGACTGGATGGATAAAGTGTAAGTATTGTTATCCATCTCTCTGGGAAAGCAGATCTCCATAAAGGAGCAAGCCAAATAGCTTCTGCTCTTTGTGCTGGAGTGTCATACTGCTGTCTGAGGTGGGCTCTGCTGCCCCAAGCTGCCTGTGGGCAGCCCAGACACCTTTCTGGAGGGCAAGAAGAGCCTTGTACCGAGTCCAGTGGCTGGAAATGGACAGACAGCCCTTGGTATTTGGCTGGGACTCCTTCAGTCTTGTCTACAGAGGGTAGTCCAGCTGGCTCAGAGCTTCAATTGTAGGGCTTCTAGCTTTTCTCCTGGGATGCCCAAACCATTTGGTAACTACTCAGTGCTTATCTTCTGCAGCGTTCCCCTTGATCTGGATAATGCAGCGTTCCCTTTCCTGGCTTACTCAGGAATCCCAGTGGTTTCCTTTGGTTTCTGCAATGTAAGTATTGCGTGCCTGCCTGGTGTACTCATTTCACGCAGAGTGATGTAAGGATATCTGCTCTCCAGGATGGCAGAGCACAAGGTGCTTTTCCAAGCTCTCTGTCTGGGCAAGAGCCTCTGAGGGGAATGAGGTGCAGCCTCTGGGCCCAGTGGCTGTGGCAGTACTTGCTGTGAAGGCTGCTCCTGGGACAAGGCTGGCCTACAGTCTCTGTTCCAGAGTCCTGAATGCTTGTGGTTTTTTGGGAGAGGGGGCACTTGCTCTTCTGGAGGCTTAGATGTCAATGATTCAGAAGCTAAAAGCACTAAAAAGACGTCCACTGTTGCTGCATCAGTGAAAGACTGTACTACAGCCTGCTGGCCAGCAAGCAGAAGGCATTGGGGAAGTGATATTGTTGACCAGAACAAGCATTAACTCAGATTGTTTGGGTCTGCTGCTGCAGTTGGGGCTGACACCAGCCCCGTTGCTGCAGGTGTGCAGCTGGGAGCCTTTCTAATAGCAGCTCCCTCTCTTTTGAATGCTTGGGTTTGTTAGTGTTAGACTTGTGTCACAGAAAAACTTGAGTTATCCTGACAAGAAGGGTTGGAGGGTGCTGCCACCACATACCAGACTGGGTGGTGAGATTTGCCCACCTGCACTTCTGCAGTGACCTCTGAGGGGGTAAAGTTCTCTATGTCTTCAGGTCCAAAAAACTAACAGAACATCCTGCTGATTGCTGGAAACTGAGGGATGAAATGCAGGAGCTCCATTCCCTTCCCCATACTTTGATGCTTTGCCACTCTAGTGTCATGTCTTAGCAGCACAGGGATTTAGCATGTGGTGGAAGTAGCAAGTCATCTGTGGTGGGGGATGAAAAAAATCTAGCTGGAAAAGCATTCTTGGCTAAATTCAACACCTTCTTTCTTGCAGAAAGATGAGGAATATGCTTTCTTGGGCACTGCTGGAGACACAGTGATGAACCTGAAGAAGATTGACAAGTTGAGTGCTCTCATGCGAGCTGCTGCAGAAGTTGCTGGACAAGTAGTTCTCAGGCTGACCCATGATCATGAGCTCTTCCTGGATTTTGATAGATACAGTGAAGAATTGCTGTCATTCCAGGAGAGGTTTTTGTTCTTTGATGAGGAAGTGAAGGTAAGGAGGACTCTGATTTCACTGAATCCCTGTAGATGGTCAGGGGCTGTGTCAGTGATACAGCAGGGTAGATGTCTTACCCCTTTGGGCATGAGTGTAGCAAAATGTGACGAGAATTGATGTTCCTCTGGAGCAGTGCAGGCAGAGTAGCTGTGGCAGACAGATCCAGCTAACTTGCCTGTGGTGAGCTCTTGAGGACATGGATGTGGGTGATTTCTCCTCTGGTTATCATTCACAACATAGTGCAGCTTTGCCACTCGTTTGCACCTCTGCTGAAAGCCTACAAGAAACTGTGGGTGGGGAGTGACCTCAGAAGAGCCTGCCAGGAACTTGCTCTACTACTTGGTTAAATTCAGGGAAAAAGAAACCCCGAAAAAACCAACAACAACAAAAGAAAAAGCTTTCTTTTCGTAAGAGAGCAGCAAAAGAAGAAAATCAGGTTTGCTAACAGTTCCTCCCTTGCAGGCACTGGGGCTGACCTTGAACTGGCTGTTTTTTGCCCGTGGTGACTTTCAGCGAGCTGCAGATGCACTGAGGAGAGACATTGCAAACAGTGACAAGGAAAACAGGATTGTCCGCAGAGCCCTGAATGACAGGATGATGAAGGTGGGTATCTACAACTGGTTTTTCTTTCTTCATGAAGGAAGAGAGTGCTTGGCTGGGATGGGCCTTTCCCTAAGGGGCCATGGGCACTGTGCAGACTGGTGTCTCCTCCACTTGCTTAGTGTCAACCTGGCTGAGTTCTGCACTTGCATTTGAGAGAGGGTCTGGCCCTTACAGAGCTGCTGTGGGAAAGGACTGACTAGGGATCAGACCTTGGCAGCTCAGGTTGAGGCAGATTAGGGAAAAAAAAACTTGGGAGGCCAGAGCATAACCCTAAATTTGCCCCTCTGCTCAGGTGGAGTATGACTTCCTCTCCCCGTTCCTCTCACCAAAAGATGCTCCCTTTCGCCACATCTTCTTCGGCAAAGGCTCCCACACGCTGCCGAGTCTGCTGGAGAACCTGAAGCAGCTGAAAGACAACAAAGACAGTGTGGATGTGAACGTACTGAAAGAGCAGCTGGCCCTGGTGACCTGGACCATTAAAGGGGCTGCCAATGCTTTAGTGGGTGATATCTGGAATACAGACAACGAATTCTAGACACACCAAACACCTGGTTAAGGTACAGGATTACCTCTCTAAGGTACAGGAGAGCTGTGTGTGCAGGGGCTTGCTGTGTAGCCCTAGTTCCACCGGTGGCAACACACAAAAAACTCCCTGTACCTCAGATTAGGCATTGGCACGATTTTTAAATGGCAGCTTCCTGCAAATTTCCAGTACTTTATGTATCATGAAACCTAACTGATAACCCCTGAAACCCAAACAAAACCCGCTCCCTAACGTGGTATTACCTTTCTGTAGATTTTCTGGCAACTTTTTTTGACCAAAGTTGAACACAAAATTTAAATCCCACCTTGACAAATTCACAGGAGGCAGTTTTAAAGCAGGTACTAACATTACCATGAAATCTCCTCTGACCAGGCTCCTGTCTGACCACAGTCCCAACCAGTCGTGTACACAGCTGCTTCTAGGGCTTGCTCTCCAGTGTACTTGAGAACCAAGAACTTGGGTGACTCCTGAACTGGTACCTTGAGTGGGGAGGTATAGCATCTATTTAGGCTTTTAATTGTTGGTCCCCTAAACCTAGTGACAAAACAGGGAATGGATTCCTCTAAACACCTGTGATGAGGATCCCTTCTCTGGCAGGGAGCTGTAGAGAGTTGTAGTTCAAAAATTAAACGTAGTAATACCCGCAAGTGCTGGATTATCAGCAAGCCCTGAAGTGCCCGGCCTGCCTTTACTCAACAGCGGGGTTCCAATGACATCTTGGAGGCTTGCTTCTGCCAAGGCAGTTATCAATACCCAGGGAGAATGACCCAAAGATTATCCAGTGTCCCCTTTATACCCTTAGCTGGCACCTCGGTGAGCCTTGCAGCATTGAGAAATGGCTCTAGACCGGCACTTCAGAACTTGCTGCTCAGGGGCCTTGTGTGAAATTGAGTCTCTTGCTGGCCAAACCCTGTTTGACTCGATGTCATGTTGCAAGATGGCTCTTGTTTGGCACTGAGATATTTATTTCTTTATTTATTTATCAGTGACAGTGTTCACTATAAATGTTTTTTTATAGAAGATAATTATCGGAAGCAGTGCCTTCCATAATTATGACAGTTATACTGTCGTTTTTGAATAAAGCAGCATCTGCTATTACAATCAAAACATGATACTGGAACTTTGCATTTAAAATAATCAAAACAGGCCCCTCAAAAAGTTATGGAAAACTAGCAATTAAGCTTTCTGTGGCAAAAACACCCCTTTGAAAAAAACTCCAAGGTGTAAACCTGGTAGTGAGTCTCCAGGTTGTGCTCCAAAGTAATCCTTCAAATGCTGAAAACCTGGGTGGAAAACTCAAATACTAGAAATTTGGCTTCTTTGCAGGGTCCATGCTCCTCTGTGGGCTTTGGACTCCTTCCTACTCCCCTTTGTGGATGATGTGTGCTCTCGTGTGGAGCACAGCTTCCTTCCTGGCCCCAACCCCAGAAGAGGGACTTGCTGTGTAGCCCTAGTTCCACCTGTGGCAACACACACAAACTCCCTGTACCTCAGATTAGGCATTGGCGCGATTTTTAAATGGCAGCTTCCTGCAAACTTCCAGTACCTAATGTATCATGAAACCTAACTGACATTATCGGGGGCAGTGTCTTCCATAATGTGTAAAGAACAAGGTAGTTTTTGCCTACCACAGTGTTATATCGGAGGCAGTGACCTCCATATGTTGCACTATGGGTGTACGTAATTATCGGGGACAGTGTTTCCCATAATTGTTCTATGCTTAACATGCAATGTCATCTGCGAAGCTTGATGGTTAGTATCTAACATGGATTAATCTCCTGCAGTCCTATTTTTTCACTCTCCTGTGGTGATGCAGATACAAACTTCAATCTGTTATGTACTTAGACTCTACTTTCCCCATAGGCTGAACTGTTTCAAATAGCTGTGCTGTCTTGAATTGGCTTCCTGTCTTGAATTGGCTTCCTGCTTCCAGCTATGGTAGTGGTGCTTGAGTATTTAGTGGAAACTAGGCTAGTTAGGTTGTGTGCAGTAGTAGTGATGTAGTAGACTTCCTTCAAATCAGTTACAAAGACATGAGGAATTAAAGGTGAATGTAGGGCTTGGGGCTGACAGCTGTTTGGTGGGCTCAGGTCACTGCTCTGGATGGGTGCACGTAATGCACATAACACTGTCCTGCTGTGGCACTGGGAGAGTTGCTGGTATGCTCACGTGGGAAGCCCACTCCAGTTCTCACTGGAAATTCCAGTCTTGCCCACCTTGGATGTTGAATGGAGGGGGGAAATCAGTGGCACCTTTCTCATGGTGCCGCTCTGCTTCCCGATCTGAAGCTGAGCACTGCTTATGGGTGATACCTGCTAAACTGTGCTGCCTGTTTCCCAAACAGCTCTGGCTGGCTGTTGTCAGCCCTGTACTCTGCAGTTTGATCTCACATTTAACCCTAAGCTGCAGTTTAGTTTTAACCTAAACTCTGCACGTTGATATGGATTTAAACCTAACCTGAGTGAGTGACCTGAGCCCCAACAGTAGTCCTTGAGGGAAAGAACATTGTTCAGGAATGGACAAGGACAGGCCCTCAGCCTTGTTACTGAACTCAGTGCTCACCAGTGTGGAGGGCTGGATTTTCATCAATCTCTCTGGAACCCTGATGCCCAGACTTGTGCAGTTTCTTGCTCTTACCTGAGTTCTCTTAATTCACCAACTTAACTCTTCCTGCAGCCCTGTCTGTGTTAGTGTTTCGTAGTGACACTTCTCTGGATGGCATTTAGGAGCTGCTGTCTGGGAGTCCTCACTGTAGTGTTTGCATGCATCTTGATGTCAGACTTAATCTTGTGCTTTATAGCCAGCAGAGAGAGACAAAAGACAAAGCCTGTCTCCACAGCACAACAGTGACTACAGGGATGTTGGGATATCTTGCTCAGTGCTGGCATCTGACTGCTGTGGGATACTTACCTGTTGTTTGCTTCAATAAATATTTTGCATCTTGAACGCTCAGCTTCTCTTGTGGGTTCTTGTAAAGCCATGGTGCTGTTGTGGCCATGGGTGAGCTTGGGCAGCTGGAGGATGGCTGCTCTCCTGCCCCATCAGGGCTGGTACCTGGCAGCTCCAGTACCACCACCGTGCTGTTCATTTAAGTCCTGCTTCATCCCAGTCAGCTGGGATAAGGAGTCTGGCAATGAGGTGGAGGAGCAACATATCCAAGCCCCTGGGCTCCCTGCTCCTTTTGTGGCCATGTCCTGCCTCTCAGTCATGGCTTTAGTCTGAAAAGCCTGCAGCGTTGGGGTGGATGATGTGACAACAAAATGTCAGATTTCCCACTGGCTGTGGCTTTGTAGGTCTCTGCTGTTGAGAAGGTGGCTGGACAGGGCTGTGTGTGACTGTCCCAGGAAGCTGCCCCACTGTGTCCTGCCTTGTCTCTTCCCCTCATCACTTTGGAGCTCCCCTGGGCCAAGATTCAGATGGGTATATGGATAATGCTTAGAGCCCCAGGAAGCTCTGGGAGAGCATGAGCTGCCTCCCTGGCCTTAGAGTCCTCCTCAGAGGAGACTGCACGGCTTTGGCACTCTGCATTTAAATATGCTCAGTTTCTCTCTCCTGTCTTCCCCCGGCCCTAATGCTGGTCTCACCTCCTGCTTTACAAACATTGCATCCCTAGAAGATGAACTATTTGGGGTGAGAAGCATCTTCTCCAGGAGACCAGCTCGCCCCTTATGGGCTGTCCCGTCATAGCTCTGGTCCCTCCTCTTCCACCGGGATGATTTACTTGTTGGAAACACGTCGTTTCCCGCAGCTCCTGTCCGCGCCTGGCAGGGCTCCTCTCCCTGCGGTGACTGTGCGAAGCGCCCCGAGAGGCTGGGCCGGGGCTGCGGGAGCCCTGCTGCGGCCGGGCAGCGCCAGCCCCGCCGGGGCAGAGGGAAGGGGGGGCAGCCCCTTCCCACTTACCTGAGAGAAGGGATTCGGGCAGCGCAGGGCAGCGAGTGTGCTGGGTCCCTGCAGCGGAGCGGTCCCGGGGCCTGGTGCGATTCTGCGGTGAGTCTGTCCGTCTGCCCACCCCGGCGACCCCGCTGCTCCTCCACCCGTGCCCCTGCCTGCCCGCCCTTCCTTCCTTCTGTCCGTCCGTCCTCACCCCGCCGTTACGTAAAGCGGCGCCGCGGCGCCTTTAAGGGCGGGGCCGGGGGCCGGCCGGGCTCGCGGCGGGGCAGGAGGGGAGGAAGCGAAGGGGGCGGTGGAAGCGGAGCCGGAGCTCCAGGGCTCCAGCAGCGCGGCGCGGGGGGGCTTCCCCAGCGTGCGGGGCCGGGGCGGGGCCCGCGACCGCGTGCACCATCCGGGGGCAGGGGGCGAGCGGGGCGCCGGGGGTGCCGGAGGGCGGGGGGCTGAGCCCGGCGGTGCCGGAGGGCGGCGGGGTGGCCCCGGGCGTGCAGGAGCAGGGAGGCTTCACCCGCGGCGTGCAGGAGGCGGGGCTGGGGGCGCTGCCCCGCGGCCAGGAGCTGGTGGCCGGCGGCGGCGGGGAGCCGGGGGGCGGCGGCCGTGGGGGGCCGGGCCGGTGGCACTGGGTGCCGCTGGGCGAGCGGACGAGCCTGCAGGAGTGGGGCGAGCGGCCCGGGCCCGTCACCGCCCTCGGCAGCCCCAAGGCGGGCGCGGAGCCGCGGCGGCCCCGGGATCGGGGGCCGGCGCGGGCGCGGCGGCGGGCGCGGGGCGCGGAGGAGGCGGCGGCGGGCGGCAGCCCCGGGGCGCGGCGGGCACGGGGCGCGGTGCGCGGGGTGCAGGAGCACGGCCCCAAGGTCCGGCAGGAGCAGGGCCTGGCCCGGCGGGCGCAGCAGGAGCGCGGCGGGACGCGGCGGGACGCGGGGAGCCCCCCGGCCCGCGCCCGCTGGTGGGTGCGGCGAGGCCGGCAGGAGGAGGGGGAGGCCCGGGGCGGGGTGCAGGAGGAGGGCGAGCTCTACCCGGGGGAGCAGGAGCACCCCAGCGGCAACCCCGGCACGAGGACCCCGGCACAGCGCCCGAGCCGCAGGAGGTCCGCCCGGGTGTGAGGTCCCAGGTGTGTGTCCGCTGCCCCGTGGGTGATCCCACCCGCGTCCCGGACGTCCCCGGCGTCGATCGTCGCACCCCACCCCGGCAGG